CAATATATGGGCTTTACACCTCATTCTTTGCTTGCATCATTTACTTCCTGATGGGAACGTCAAAGCATATTTCAGTTGGTATCTTTGGTGTGCTTTGCTTAATGATTGGCCAGGTTGTGGATCGAGAAGTTCAATATTTTGGGTATGACCTCTATGATGTTAATAAAACTGCCCAATCAGAAATGTTCAACCAGTCCACAGATTTTTGCGACAGAAGTTGTCTTGCCATTCGTGTTGGCTCAACTTTGACATTTATGGCTGGAGTCTATCAGGTGAGTTGAACACTTACTTAAACCTAAATTGGTGTCTGTTGTATGCGCGATGGATTTGAAACTTGTTCAATGAGAATTAGACCCAAAATTACACCAATTCTGCTAATTGTCTTACACTTAAATTTCCTGCAAATCTCATTAGAATGAAAAAAAAATCGGAGACAGAGAAGGCATGGAATTCAGAATGAAAATTTAAAGTTTCAACTCATTTGATTTTCATCTGAGAACATCAGGCACAGCGTGCTTGAGAGTCTTTGATTGATGCAGCAGTTCCATTTTTAAGATGACAAGTACTGCTGTGATAAAATGCATTAATGTAAACAAGAAATACGCTGCCAGTCTTTGAGGGTAAGTGAAAGTAAGTGCTCAGCAAAATTTAACAAAACACCAAAAATATTTTCAAGATGTACCAGGAAATCTAGTCATAATTTTAAGTCAACCCTTGAGCAAGTGCAATTGCAGGAACTAATATGGGGCTCTGTGAGGCTTGAATGTACACAAGGTTGTATAATTTAGAGATGGGTCTCACAAAGAAATGAGCTCAGGCAGAATTTGTTTGGATAACCATAAAAGGTCAACTACTATTTTGGTGTACAATTATACTTGCCTGCATGACCTACACTGAAAATATTGTTATCTTAAGCCACATAATTAATTGTGCTCAGGCTGGTTGTAACCCTGAATGCAATAACGGTGAAAATGTAAGACCATTATATCAGTACAGTTATTAAACTCAAAGCACTGTAGGAATGGTTTCCGTCAATCATCTTGTTGACAGTGGTCCACAAAAGAATTTGAGTTTTAGAACACTAACATGCTCAAATCCATCGTCATTACCCATTGCCATTATCTTCTACATAACTGTAGAATAGGGCATGAAGCATTCAGTGTCAGCAACTATTCAAATTATGGAATCTTCATTGAGACATGCAAAGTCTAAGCAAAGAAGTATAAAGTATAGATTAGGTTTTAATTCACGTGCCGAAAGCTACATCAGGATTGGGAAAGAAGAGTGAGAATGATAAAAGAAACAAAGTTTTGGGGGAAAAATAGGCTCAACAGAGCAATGCAATAAAAACAGAAATTGCTGGAAAAGCTCAGCAGGTCTGGCAGCATCCTGAGGAAGGGTTACCGGACCAAAACATTAACTCTGATTTTTCTTCACGATTGCTGAATGAGATCTAGTCCTGTAAAATACATTTTTGTGGCCAGAGACGTTACTTACTGAAGGAGCTTTCTTCATTGCCATCTAAAAGTGTACTTACTTCTAAATGCCCCAGCCATCTTTTGTGAGGAAATATTCTAATTTTCATGAGTTTACATTATATCAATTTGGCATTGAAATAATGCTGTGAGGATTGTTGCCCCTTGCCCTGTACAGCAGTGTGGCATCTCTGAAAGCAGCTTCCAGATTTCCAATCTTGACAGCACTTGTGTAGACACTGCAAGTTGATGGCAGGTTTATGTTATAATAATGGTGAGGGCTGTTCACTTCCCCTTTATCATCTTCAAAATCCAGGTCATTATAACTTCACTTACCTTTCTCACCCATTCCAATGTAAACAAGTAGTCAAATCAGATTTTAAGCTGAATTTTTATACATTTTAGATTGCTTCTCTAGTTTTTAAAAGAATAAATCAAACTAAATGATCAGGTAGTACTTATGTTAACCAGTACATAAATCATTCCCAAGATGATCCTGGCTGAGAGCTGAATATTCAAGGATAATAGACATTTTGAAAAGATAGAAAAGGAGATCATTTATCTCTGTCAATAAATGACAGTATAGTAGTGAGACATGATCTTAACTCAGATCAAGGTTTAGAGTTGGATTAGGTGGAGATAAGAAATAAACAATAAATTATTACTTGGAATAGTGTATAGCCCCCATAAGTGTTACTGTAGGATAGAACATAAATCAAGAAATATTGAGATCTTCCAAGATAAAGCACATCAATAATCATGCGAACTTTAATCTTCACATGACTGAACAAATCAAATTAGCAAAGATAGCTTTCAGGATGAGTTCATAAACTGCATTCGGACTGTTTCAGCATCTTGTGGAACCAACTGTTGAACATGCTATTTTAGACTTGGAAATGTGTAATTAGACAGGATTAATCAATAATCTTAAACAAAAAAGGAATCTCAAGTGTAGCCAATGCTGTAATGTAGGAAACATGGCAACGATTATGTGCAAAGCAAACTCCCACCTACAACAATGTGATGATCAGATAATCTGTTTTGTAATTTTAATGGAGGGATAGCTAACACTGGGAGTAACTTCTTTGCTCAAAATAGTGAAATGGGTGTTTTACATCCACTTGTGCACTTGAGGGGCCTCTGTTTAATATCCAAACCAATAGAAAGAAATTTCTGACAGTTAGCACTCTCTTAGAAATGATCAGGATTATCACTCTTGATTTTGTGTGCAGTTAGTGGTATGTGACTTGAACTCAGTTCTTTGTGACTTCAAAAGCAGAATGTTACCACCTGAGCTGTGGCTGATGAATCTCAATTTGTAGTTTTGCTGGTTGCTGGCTGTAAATTTATGAAATCTAATTATGTGAAGGCTCATCCATTTGAATGTTAGATCACTTCTTAGTAGTGAAGCAACCATATTGGCATGGGAGTGGTGTCATGTATAGGCCCTAAAAAAAAGGACAGCAGACTTTGTTAAAAGACATTGAGGAGATTCAATAAATAATTGTCTATAATCCTACTTGACTATTTTTTTCCCTGAATCTACCCCATAGTATGAAAAAAAAAAGTGCTACCAGAATATTGTTATTTTATATGACTTAAAACTCAGTTCAAGGTAAGTTTACAGTAAATAATGCCTTAGTACAGGCCATAATTCTCATTGTACTGTTCTTGTGCTGGACAGAAGTATTATTGTTTGTGGTAGTAACAACACAAAAGTCCAATGCAATCAATTAAAAGACTTTCCACTTAAACTGTTATCAATAACCACAATTTCAATGATTTAGGGATATTTTAATGTATTATTGCCTCAAAAAGATCAAGATTTATTTCCTTATCTGTGGAAAACCTATGTATTTAAATATTTTATGTATATAATTTATATATTTGTATATAAAATTTATAATGGGTGCATACCTGAGCCAATTATTTTTTATAGGTATTAGTTAACCCATAAGCAGTTACAGTATTTTCTGTTTTTGTTTCATGTCCAGTATGTATGTTTGTCTCACTTGTACATTTTAAATAGAGGTTTTAACAAAATGTGACTCTTGATTGTTTAATTCCATAACGTAAAGACTCTTGGAAATGAAGGGCATGCAAAATACAGTACACTAACCACGATGCGAACGTAGGAATTCTCAATTATTTCCAGCTCTCTGAATTATGTCATTCATAATTGTTTTCTTAATTTTGTTTCCAGATTGCCATGGGCATCTTCCAAGTGGGCTTTATATCAGTGTACTTGTCTGATTCCTTACTTAGCGGATTTGCCACTGGAGCATCATTCACTATACTTACGTCACAAGTTAAATACCTTCTTGGGATCAGCATTCCACGTGCTCATGGTCCTGGTTCACTTGTGCAAACCTGGGTGTACATCTTTAAAAATATCCAGAGAACTAATGTCTGTGATGTCATAACCAGTGCATTGTGCCTTCTTGTTCTAGTGCCTTTAAAAGAAATAAATGAATGCTATAAATCCAAGTTAAAAGCACCAATTCCAGGTGAGCTTTTGGTTGTAGTTGTTGCTACCTTGGTCTCTCATTATGGGCATTTGAATGAGAAGTTTAATTCAACTATTGCTGGAAACATTCCCACTGGATTCATGGCTCCCACCCCTCCAGACTGGAGCTTGATACCTCGAATAGCTGCAGACGCCCTTCCAATTGCTATCATTGGGTTTGCAATTACTGTTTCTCTTTCAGAAATGTTTGCCAAGAAGCATGGGTATACAGTTAGAGCCAATCAAGAAATGTTTGCGATTGGTACCTGTAACATTATTCCAGCATTTTTTCATTCCTTCACAACCAGTGCTGCCCTTGCAAAAACTCTTGTGAAAGAATCTACAGGTTGCAAGACACAGTTGTCAAGTATAGTGACCGCATTAGTGCTTCTCCTTGTGCTACTTGTGATTGCACCTCTTTTCTACTCACTTCAGAAATGTGTCTTGGGTGTCATAACTATTGTAAATCTGCGGGGGGCTTTAAGAAAATTCATTGACTTACCCAGAATGTGGAAGGTGAACAAGGTGGACACTGTCATATGGTTTGTCACAATGCTATCATCAGCCTTAATCAGCACAGAATTAGGACTATTGATTGGGGTTAGCTTTTCTGTGATCTGTGTCATTGTGCGAACACAAGTACCAAGAGCCACTACGCTTGGCCACCTTGAAGGGACAGAAATTTATGAAGACTTAGGACGATATAAAAATCTTCAAAATTTGACTGGTATCAAAATATTTAGATTTGAGGCTCCGTTGTACTATGCAAACAAAGAATTCTTCAAGACATCCCTGTACAAACACACAGTTGACCCCACTCTAATAATTGTAGCAAAGAAAAAAGCAGAAAGGCAAATAAGTCGGGAAATGGAACAAAAAGTGACAGGAAATTCTGGTATTTCTAACAAGAATGATGTCACAGTACAGCTTTCCAAGCAAGAGTTTGAATTCCATACAATTATCATTGATTGCTCAGTTATTCAATTCTTGGATACTGCAGGTGTAGCTACGGTAAAGGAAGTCTTTAAAGATTATAAACAGATTGGAATCCCAATTCTTCTATCAAACTGTAATGCCTCTGTTATTGATAGCCTTCGCAAAGGAGGCTATTTCGAAAGTTGTAACATCCACAGATTGGTATTTTACAGTGTTCATGATGCTGTGATGTTTGCTTCAAATGTACACCAAAAGAATGGTGACTGGGAAGCAAACACCTTCTGTTAATGTTTAACTGTGACCAAATACAAGAAAACTGCTCTGATTTGTTAGCTTGAGAAACTTGAACATGTTGTTCCAAAGCACACTGAAATAATTTCTTCATTTTAACTTGACTAAATTTCAGATGAAATTAAGTATAATTGTTTTTTTCTGAAACATGTTTGTGTATTTCTAATCATGTTGTTTATTATGAGATGGGATTAGGATCTGTAAAGTTTTTAAGCAATGATATTTGACAGATCTTTTAAAATTAACTAATTTGGGTTTTTTTTTTAAATGAGAGAGAGTCTCCTGCTTCTTAAATGTGTAATGCTGAGGAAGTTAATTTTTCAATGGGGTGTTATATATTTGAAAATAAATTTGGAGGCTGAGTTTTGAAATGAATATTGCAAAAAAAGTATGTGAAAATAATTCTTCTTGCAGTAATTAATAGAGCTACCTTTTTCAGCTGGTTAAACAGTGGAATACTAATTTAAAATGTATTTTGCTTTATAACACAATATGCTTTTGCTTTCATCATACCTGAAGTGTTTTACTCAAAAAAGCCAGATTTATCTGGTTTCAGTTTTACATTGTTTATGGGGGTAAATCAATTTTATTTTTTTAAAATAAAGGAGGCTTGTGCAGTAACAAATGTAATATCACTACCTACCATGCATTAAACTAGGAAATAGGGTCAAGCACCCTAAGACAAAGAAATATGTTTCTGTGCTGGCATAGGTCAAAAACAGCAGCTATTCTGAAGATGAATAACTTTTTTTGAAAATATATTAATTTATAAATAATCGCACGCTTTTCCTCCATGTTTCTTCCTGTCTGTTCTCTTCATTTTCCTCTCACCTAAAAAGAGAGATGTTGAATCTTGATGAAATATATTTATGTCACCCTCACAGACAGTTTTCTTTTGATATTAACTATGGAACTGAGCAAAACTGAGCCTAATCATGCCCTAATTATTGGTTGCACAGACATTCTGCCATAAAGGAATCACGTGAAGGAAGCCTTAACTGATTTTGATGTTAGTTTCCCTCCCTACCTAGGAATAATAAGGCCAAATGATTTGTATTAGCAGAGATCCCATACCTTGGCACAACTGACCAGAAATCAAACGCTACACTTTGAGCTGAATGGTGCTTCAGCAACTTAAAGTCATCTTTTGTGATTTCATCAATGGAATGACTGCACCACTCATGTATTCTGTGTTATAGAAATAGACAAATCAAGAAGGACATGCATTGTTTAGTTTTGGAAATCCATTGGTGAGCTTTGTGTAAATTAAAGTTCACATTTTTATGTTAAGAACAGAAGCAAATTTATTCCATCGAGACCAAAGCACTACCAAAATACCTATGGTAAGTTTAATGCCTTTACACTCTCATCTAGCTCTCTAGGTTAACGAAGGGATAGTTTTTCAATAACATCAGGAGCAATGCTTTATTATGTGCACACATGCATTTTGCTTCTCATGATATTATTTTAATTGTTTCCCTCTCATTTATTTTGCATCTTGAATTAAAACTCCACTTAATTTTTGTACTTTTAAAATAATGTATACAAATCCACTAACAATAGGAAATTATAGCTTGATTTACAACTGTAGTCATCCTTTTGCAATATGCCTTGAACAGTAATGTTGCACCAATGGGTAGGCTTTAAGAAGGGATATTGAGCTACTCACTAAGTCCATAAACCTTTATTTTTATTGAAAATAAAGTGCCAGGAAATCAAGCTGGTCAAACAGCATAAAAATGTATCCAACATACAATAATAGAGTCTATGCTGGGTACCAGCATTAAAACCCATTGACAGATGTTGATCCAAACATCTGAAATATGGACATTCACCAAGAATACAAAATCTTAATGGCGTTGCAGTAATTAGTATTAGAAGCCGTAATTTTTTTTTTTGTTGGAAACTACGATTTCACTTGAAGTAATCAATTATATCTTTAACTCAAGGCAATGGGAAATGTTGATACTATCTACAAGATCAAGACAGTTACTTTCACTTTTTAAAAAAAAAATCAAACTTGTATTTCATTTGAATCATATGTGTTGTTCAACAAAACGTCTTTCTTCAAAATCCTAGATGAGTCAATGTTTGGATTTTAAAATAATTAAAAAATATTATTCCTGTATGTCAAAGTAAAACATTGACAAAATGAGGGTATTAACTGTTTCATTATAGTCTATGCATTCTGACTGTTAAAAACTACTTCACCATTTTCCATAACTTTATCATTTAACTGGAGGGCAGAAAAGAATTTTTTTCCCCTGCTTTGCAGTGTAATTTTCATTTTGTCTTATCTATTGTGCTTCTTATACAGAAGTAACCTGTGATGACAATGAACTTTTAATTATATGGCATGATACATTTAAAGCATGAGAATTTTCTCCTATGATTAGTCTCTATACATTTCCCACCTAAAGTAATCATGAACATTTTAATCACGATTAGTTTTCACTCTTGGTGAACAAATTCTTCTTGCAAGCTGTTCATTTCCAAGTGTGATATCCTGTGTGTAAACTTCTGCTCCCAAACAAAGTTTCCTCATCTCCTCCTGGTTTGATTTTGTTATTTTTAAGAAAGACTTGAGAGAATCAGGTTTTTGGATATCTTTACAGATGATCAGAAGTGGCCATTTCATGGCAGAAAAGATTTCTCAGTTGATTCTCGCCTTTTTTTGGATTTTTCTGTCATTACATGACGTTTTTCACCATCCTAAAGTTATGTATATTCTCACCATAATAAGTCAAGGCCTCCATTTTTACTGTGAATATTTAGACAAAAAGGTATGACCTAATACTTGAGGAGAAATGATGAAAGCAGCTCATCTTTGCTCCTATGAAGAGATTATGTAGCAATCGGATTTTTAAAACCCAAGTAGGCCCATCACAAAAGTATGATTGTGGAGTAAGCAGCAAAATGAAACACTTGAATACTATATTGCCAAATGTGCTATGCTTTAATTAAATGACATCAGACCATAGGTAGTACTCTCTCACCTGGGACCTGAAGATCCATGGTTCAAGTTCCAAAGAGAGTGCTTGCTGCAGTGGCACCATATGTGGCCAATAGGAGCCAGGAAGGGCTGTTTAGGTGCTCAACAGTTTAGTGCAATAGATCCAGATAACACTAGGTAAGCATCTAGGACAAGATAAACTCTGTGCAAGCAAGACAGAATATGGGAAAGAACCTAGAGGAAGACATGATGCTGCCTTCTGAACCAAAAAATGTTACTCTAGACTGTGGAAACAAACAGTGGAAAACACTATTTATCAATTACTCTGGGGCATCATAACTGATTCATTTGAGTAAATATGTAAAACGCAGCAAAGTAATTAAATCAAGTGCTCCTTTTCCTCATTTACATTTTCGTCATCAACCAATTTTTACTGAATTAAAAGTTGGCGACTTATGATGTAGTGGCTACTTTAGTCCCTTGAATGGAGAAAAATGTCCCAGAGTGCTTCACAGGCAGACAAGCAAACAACAAAATACAAGCCAAAAGGAGAGGTTAGAACAGTGAAAGCTTATTCCTTAAAACCTAATTATTTGAGCAAGAGGAGGAGAAAGGCTTGGAGGTGTTTAGGGAGGGAAATGCAATGGTAATGACCTAGACAGCTGAAAACATGGCCTATAATTTTTTGGAAAAGGAAGTTTTACAATGCAGTAAACACTGAGTGCAGTGGCCTTGGAAAATGATAAAGTATTGTCTGTCCATTTTAATTTGGATCTGTAGAACATTGGTAAACAGTAATATTCCAATAATGCAATATTTTCATTTTGTCTAATGCCTCGTAGCAAATGTTTTGTTTGCTTTTTACCTCATTAATGAAGAAGATAATGCCAAATTATATTACTGGGCTTCTGGTATTGTAATTTACCATTAAGTTCAACATTTACAATTCTCTTTCCATGTCACCATGGATAAAAGTTACAATTTTCTGTGCAGCACTAAAGTGTTAATATTATAATGCACTCTATTGCAATGAAAAATATTTAAGACTACACTTGATTTAGGCTATTTATCTTTTCATCAACTTTTAAGCATAAATTCAAAATTGTTTCTCCAAATTTTCTAAGGATTACATAATTGAAATGTTTGAAAGGAACTTTCAAATGTGCCTTTTTACTGTCTGAAATATTTCATTTTTCTTAATGCCATAATGCACACCAAAATTAGCCACAAACTATATTCTATAATTATAGATAATTATTGAATGTAGTTTATGGCTAATTTTGATAATTAATGGAATATATTTCCTGAATGGATTACTGAACAATTAAAATCTGAAATTTTTGGTCCATTGTTCTAAGTGTTTAAGTTTATAAATTCAGTCTTTGTAGCAACTGATAGTAAAATACAGATCTGCATTAAACAAAAACTTCCTTATGTTATTATGTTAATTCATCTTATCCATTTGAATGCCTGTTTCTGTCTTTACTCTAACAAGCTATATTTAGCATTAATCGTCTTGGTTTTGTTTTTAGTACACCTGTGATTTTGCCTTTTGGGTAGTTCACCTTGATAATGCATGGTATGGCACAAGTTATTGTTTACTTTTGGTTACATTACTCCCTGCTATTTCCCTCCCATTGTCAGCTACAAAGTAGTACTCATATAACACTAGTCAGTTGCTTTTCTTTTGTATTGATGTAATTTGACATTTAACAAAATTAATGCTGACCTGCTATAAAATAATCCGTAAATTAAAAGTTTTGGATTTTGTTTTTAAAAAGTATTGAATTTAAAATGTCCTTGTGGAAAGTGGAACACGGTGCAGTCTCAAGTTCAGACTCCTGTTTTTATGTCAAATTATAACATTGTATATAGAACAGACCCTGAATTATTATGGTTTCAATACAAACTGAATGCATTTGCTTGGAAACATATTTTAACTTTTTAATACATTAAGTACACAGGAAATGAAACGTTATGGCTTATTTGGAACACAGCACTACATCAGTGTGTATGTTTAAAAGAAACAAATATTCAGTTAAAACTTAAACATTTTCTTTGTACTTTTATAAGCACCAGGCTGTGCCTTTTTTTTTTGCAAACCATGGTTTGTCCAAGTACAAAGTTCTAGTTGCCTCATATCCTGTCTAAAAATCCTGAAAAATCTCTGTCCGATAATATATTGAACTTTAGCATTAAGCACAATAAATGTTTACAATTTGGTTTTAAATCTGCCAGTAAATTTCTACTGGCATTGTTCAAAGGCACAGAGAAAATGACTGAACACTCTTATTGTCTATTTATTGTTTTGTATTACAAACTGAATTAATGCTAACATTATGACTGTTCACAAGGGGTGTGACTCCCCCCGCCCATCGTTTCCAGTGGTGGGTTTGCAGGCATTATCACCTCTGAGTGATCTTGTCACAAGGCAGGCGATGACAAGCAATGGCTATGAACCCAGCAGAGGTAGGTAGCCAGTTTGAAATTTAAACTTCACATATGTGAGTTGATTGAGGTTGTCACCAGGAACTTCTACAGGCAACTTGCAGCTGGCCTGATTGCCCTGTAAAACCTCCTGTTGTGACTTCTAACCCACCCCTCCTGGCACAGGATCTGAAGTTATCACCTGGCCATAATTGCCGCCATATATGGAACAGTTTCCTCTCGAAAGGGGTGTCCTAATAGCGCAGCTCTCTGTTTAGTTCATTCAATTGAATACCTCTTCCAAAGGTGAGGGGGCCCTTCCAAACCCATTATGCAGTGGCTACCTCTGACCATGACAGATTTCCATCCTCCCAAAGCTGCTGGTCCTCTGATTGGGCAACTAGGAATTGGGAATCTTGTCCATCATCCTAAACTGGACCCAAACTCCACCAATTGACCTAGATATGGCTCATTAATCTCCTAGGCAGTCAAGGCTTGAAATGTTACCAACCTTGATTCTTGTACAGGGCACAAGGTTTGTCCAATGTTGGAATCATCTAGTCTGAAGGAAAAGGAACTTTGCATTGCATTCAGTCAGTCAGAATACTTTGCAAATAAGACTTTGGTAAGACAAATTTTGACAACACACTTTCACTGTTGTGTAAAGAATATCTGACAGCATTGTTCATTATTTGTAAGTGAATCTGTTTTATTGCTACATTGATTAATATTCCATTCCATATGGTTGACCTGAATTAAATTTTTACAAAGCACTTTGCTGATTTGTTCTTTCCTTTTTTATTATTAATAGTTGTTTAACTATTATAGTATATAACTGCTATGAGATCCATGGGCCAGTTTAAGAAAGAACCTCCCTTCTACACCAATGTGAATGTTTCCATTTCCCACATCAAGCACCTTTCAGGTTATCAGAGAGCCATTGAAGGGTAGATTAAGGCTAGTTTTGTGCAGTACAATCATGATTCAAGGAAATAGATTGATACCACTAAAATCCATTGCACAAAGGATCTTTACAACCAATGCACAGCAGACTTTAAGCTATCAAAGTAATCTCTAACTTATTTGACTCCAGGAGGAGGAGAAATGTCAGTGGAGCAGACACTGACCATCTCGAACTTCAGAAATGACGGTCTTGGGTTTTGAGAATTTCCCTTTGTGTGAGTCTCTTGGTTCGATTTGTTGTTAATTCCTCTGTAATAGGTGACACTTTTTAATTATTGGACATTACAAGGAGCATTGTCATGTGTGGAGGTGCCGGTGTTGCACTGGGGTGGACAAGGTCAGAAGTCATACGACATCAGGTTGTAGTCCAACAGGTTTATTTGAAATCACAAGCTTTCAAAGCGCTGCCCTTTGTCAGCAGAAGTCAACTTAACTTTGCAGGACAGAGTCCTGTAATCAATCACGGCAATGAAAGTATATTAACATTTACAATAAAAGTAAAACTTTCTTTGTATTTCAAAGCAAAGGGCCTACACTCCAAGAAGCAACAGCCTTTTTCCACTGAGGTGTTCCACATAATGAAAACCATTGGAACAGGTTCAACTCCATCAAAATTCCAGAGAGGCTTGAAAGGTCCACTCCCACAGTCGAGGCTAGCAAGAGCAGGAGTGTTGTGTTCACGCTAGCTACAGGCAATCTTATCCTGACCCATCAAACATTGTAAAAGGCAAATACGGTTAGAGAATTGAACATATAGCCCAAACGATTTGTGTGGAAGAAATGAGTTTTGATCCACGAGGTGCTGAAATGAGTACTTGGAAAAGAGAGTTTTCCCATTAGAACAGTCTTCTAATGAACAGTCTGGGATCAGTGTCCTAGTGGGTTATATAACCAGGGCCACAGAAAGGACTCTAAACTCCTTAGTGGAGAGATTTGAAAAGTTAAGGAGAAAAATTTAGGAAATAGGTATTCCAGGGTACACAGCATTACTAAAAAAGGCAGAATTGTTACCACCCACTTGGGAAGAGTGTGCTGATTCTCAAGCATGGTGGCACAGGGGTTAGCACTGCTGCCTCATAGCGCCAGGGACCTGAGTTCACTTCCACCTTCGGATGACTGTCTGTGTGGAGTTTGCAAATTCTCCCCGTGTCTGCGTGCTTCGGTTTCCTCCCACAGTCCAAAGATGTGCAGGCTAGGTGGATTGACCATGCTAAATTGCCCATAGTGTTCAGGGATTTGTAGATTAGGTGGATTATTGGGGGATAGGTCTGGGTGGGATGCTCTGAGGGTCGGTGTGGACTTGTGGGGCCAAAGGGCCTGTTTCCACACTGTAGGGATTCTAATTTAATTTAATCAAGAAAAGGCCAGACAATAGTAGAGGGTAACAATACGGGTAATGGTAACCAGTGTGTGGCAGGAGGGATCAGCATACAAACAAAAGGGTACACCAGCAAATATGATCAAAGTCAGGAGAATGGGTTTGCACTAACAAATAGGATTGGGGAGAGCGCAATAGTTCAATGAAGGGAGATTTAGAAATTCAAAGAAAAGAGTTGAGGTCCTAGAAAAGTAGACTGACAAGGACAAAGAAAGCCCAGGAATGTTTATTCCTGTGAAGAGTTCATGATGAATACTGCATGTGTGATTAAAGTGCATGCAGGAAATAGAAATAAAAGAAAAATCAATGTTATTTTTATCTGAATATGCTGTGCATCCAGAATAAAATGGATGGATTAAGGGCACAAACACAGATAAATGTTTTCAATGTATATGTCAGTGAACAGATATGGTTCTGAGCTGACAAAGTTTGGGAAATAGATATTCCAGGGTACACAGCATTACAAAAAAAGAAAGGCAGAATTGTTACCACCCACTTGGGAGAGTGTGCTAATTCCTAAACCCTACTACCATGGCTGTTGTCAAGGATCTAATCAAAGCACGCAGTCCTAATTGACATGTCTGTTGGAATGGAGTTAACAGAAAACACTGACAAGTTTCCTGTACTTAATAGGAACTTCCAATCCCAAACAGCTATGAATTACCAACGTATGATTCTACCAATTAAAACTTTTTAAAACTCCTCGACACAGACAAACAAAACATAATTGGTTTTATGGGTTGAGAGTCTGAGTAGGTGAGGACAGCCATCTCCTTTCCTAAAGGATATTTGTGAACCAGATGGATTTTTAAAATGATAATGGTTTCATGGTCATCATTAGATTCTGAATTCCAGATTTTTTTATTGAATTCAAATTCCACCATCTGGTGTGGCAGGATTTGAACCCAGGTCCTCAGCATTAGCTGAGTTTCCGAATTAATAGTTTATTAACAGTGCCTCAGGCTTCTCCCTCTCTATCTTCCAAGCAACCTGTTCAGAGATGTTATTCTACAGCTCTGGAGCAGGTGAGATTTGTATCTGGACCTCCTGGTTCAGAGCAAGGACACTGTCACTGCACCGTAAGACCTCTGGGCTTTGCCCTCTAGCTTTTGTGGGTATGAATGATATTCAGCTTCTCAGGAACAAGAGTTGTCACCAGGCTGGTGATCTTTGGCATCCACAAATTGTCTCAATTGCACAAACCAATGAACTACCAGCTGCCTGCCATATCCCAATCTGCACATGACTTGCTGACAATCCACAAATCATCGCCCAACTCCCCAACTGCTTAAACAAAGCAGCTCTTTAAAAATCACACATGTTGAGTCTGGTGACTTGCTTTTAAAAATGCAGCAATTCTTTCCACAATTCTTGGTTTTGAAAACCGTTCCTTTTTCTATTTTAGTCCACGATCAAAAATACAGAAAATGTTACAGTCTTTGCGTGCCTCCACATAGTTTCTGAAATGAAATTTCATCTGTTATGTTTCATCATATGGTGCGTGACACAAAATTAAAAACAAACTATGTCTATTCCCTCCCCTGTTATACAATAGTTCAGCATTTTAGACTTTCAACTTATATCATCTTACACTCAGGACAATGCAGTGCAATCACACTTTCAGTTTCAGAAGTGTGGATAATCTTAACATTTAAATGGATGAAATAACAGACTCTGAATGATATTGCATTTCGAGTTCTAAACTTTTCCAAGAATGCCAATGGATTATTATCAATGTAGGTTAATGTTTCTCTGTTGCCATGTCAGAATTAGACTTCAAAGTATTGAAGAGTCAATAATAAAATGTAATAAAATTTTAATAAAATTTAATAAAATAGATTTAATAAAATCCTTTTCTGGAAGTACAATGGCCTTTTAAAGATGGTCTAGCAAACAGATGCTAGTCTTTTGGCAGATATATGGTGGATGTTGAGTTGTTCGAGGAGTGGCACATGGCAAGATGGAGTTAGAATCGAATATGAAGGATATCATAGAGGTGGGATTAGGTGATTATTGAGGTATGTTTTGGTAAGCAATAGCAAGAAAGCTCATTAGCTTTGTGCTGAGAATCCATCCGAGACACTTGACACAACTCACTTACCAAACAAAAAGCGTAAGATTCAGCCCTGTAGTTCTTTAAGAGAACTAAACAGAATCCAAGTAACGTCAGATCAATGTCCATTAGCAAGACAAGTAACTAACAGTTGGTCTTGCTGTCAATCTCTTCCCAATTCTCACCCACAGTGTGTCAATTTATGGTACTGGCTGTGCCCACTGGGCTCTGCACCAAGATAGCTGGCAAATCTGACTGATGACCTCCAAGCTCTAATCAAAGAGGTCCAAATCTGGGGATTCACGGCAATAAATCTTTCTTTCAGCAAACCAGACACCATGACAGAGATAGTAGGAACTGCCATGATGCTGCTGGCCCTGATTATCAACTCTTTCAAATGTGTAACTGATCAAACAATGCAGAAGATGGTGCAAGTGCAGTATAATCCTCCTAATCTTCTTTTCACCACATGAAAAACCATCGCACCCCTCACCTTCATAAAACAACCCCTTCAATATATCCTTTATCATGTTGTACCTAGGCCAAGGGTGTCTACATTTTGCCTAATGTATACCAACTGCCTTCCGTAACTCCAAAACACCTTTATCACTTTTCTGTCTTCACATCTCTCACTTTACCCTTATCGCCACAATTCTTAACTAACACACTTGATACCAAAATAGACAATATTCTGCACCCTAGCTTGCATTTGAAACATAATGGACACTTGTCTTGTGATTTATTAATTATTCATCGGTCAGGTAATGGAATTTCAATTTCAAAACATGGGTGATGTTTCCTGGCAATGCCCTATTGGGTATCATCTGGGTGAACACAGCTCGTATGTAGTGGTCGAATTCATCCACCCAGTCCCTTTCAAAAATCACATGCCAATTTCCTCAGCACCTCTTCTGCTATCTAACTATTACAGAAACTTACATCATTTTTCATTCACAGTTTTTTCCTCTAACAAAAGTAAAACATGCTCGGTCGTTTTGGGAGTAGAGTCACTCATACATTAGAGCAGGATTTCCCTGTGGTCTTCAGGATCTTGCTAGCAGGTTTAAAGCGATGGTGTTGGGGTGGTGTAGTGTAGGCTATCAGAAAATCCCACACCATGTGGGAAAGTCAATTTCTGGCTGTTTTTCTCCAAACTGGCCACATAGCCAGAGGGTGGGCTCATCATTCAATTAACAAAGGTGACTGGATTATCAAAGCTGGATGATTATATATTGACCAATACAACGTAAAAACAAGTAACAATGCTCACCTTTTACTTCCTCAAAACGGAAACCAACATCATCAGCACGTGGAAAGTGATTAAAGTTCATCCTACAGTGCCATCCAGTGACAAAAGCTCATCACTGCAGTCAAAGGTT